AAAACAAACAGGAGGTACAGAAAAAATAAACAATAAAGGAAAACAAACAATATACATGGAACAAAACAAAGAAAGACACGGACATAATACAAGGACATAAAAACAAATAAAGGAATACATAAAGTCACAAGAAATAAAAAACATAAAACGAATCACATCCAGAAAACTGTAAGTACAGTAATACATCAAGATAACACACAATCATAACCAGCCCTACATCCCATACACAGGTGCATAACGGTACAGAAAAAACAACAAGCCTCCTGCACGCACACACGCATACACATATACAGCCACACATCGCCCCCCCCTCCACATGAGCACAGGCCAGGCCAAGCCAAAAAGCCAGACGAACACACACACCAGAACAGGCCCATGCAGGAGCCAGGAACAAACACCCACACCACACACAAGCACACCCACACGTGCACGCAAGCACCAGGAAACAAAACCACACACACCCACACAAGAGCAAGCACCCAGCAGCTTTCCGGGTACTCCTGCGACGGAAAGTGTAAGCAGTAAGCTTCCCAAACCAAGAGGTCGTCATCAGTAATCGGACGACCAGGAGCCGCATGAGGCCAAGGCATTAAATCCGGCACTCCAAGGATAAAATACTTCACCCACGGAACCCAAATGGAAGAAGAGTTCCAAGGAACAGGACGCACTAGGTCATCAAAGTCAAATTCCAAAGGGTGAGTCCCATCGTACACTTCCCCGGACGGGAAGATGAGAGGGATGGGTTTTCTCCTTAGGGGTTGGTCACAGGGCTGCGCACGTGGAAGCACACCAGGCAGCGCACAAGGCCGCACACCAGTTCGCGCAATAGGACCCTCGTCAGGCGCAACACAGAGCCCTGCGCAGGGGGGACCCTCAGAAATGCCAGGTCCTCTGCTGCCGGAAACAGGAGCAGAGGCCCTTCAGTGCACATCTTTTGTCAAGACCACAACGAGGTCGCGATCATCAGGGACCACTACCCACGGAGGGGAGCCACCAATAGGAGGCGTAGGGTATGACACAGGAGGCAACACAGAGCCACCCACAGCATCATCAACCCCATCGTCACCCCGCGCCAGAGGAGGCGACGCATCCCTATCCGTACAAGAGCGTTTAGGAACAGACCGTTGATCATCGGAGCTGTCACACCCTGCAGGTGGTGCCCAAGAAAAGCCGTCGGTAGGCTGCCCCATATCCGGGGGAGCATGATGCCTCAGAAGTTCAACCTCGACGACACAGGGGACGAGGCCGCCACCCACAGAAGAAACCGGAACTGGAGAAATAACAGGTGCAGCTGGCGGGAGGGAAGATACCAGCATAGGTGAGGAAGCCCGTGGGGATGCCAGATCCAGGAGAGGAGAAGACGCGTGTACAGGCAAGGAATCTATTGGAAGCAATGAGGAAAACGGTGTTTGCGCACACACCACCATCCCGTCACATACACCACCGTCCGTACATACCAGCTCACCAGTCGAGGAACCCGGGACCACCACCAGGACAGCAGGCGGCAGGGAAACCTCCCCACCCACTCCATCACAGGGTGACAAGTCTTGCTCCACCAACGGGGAGAAATCATCTTCTCCAAATAAGTTAACAGGAGCAGCCGCCACCCTTGTACAAGTGGCCGCCTGGTGCTCTTCAAGGCCACAATGAAAACATGTTCGCGGCTTCCCTGCATAGACGGGCCGCATAGTGGAGCCCAGCAAGGTAACCATGGAGGGAACAGGGGACTTGAGCTGGAAGGCCACATGTTCGGGTGCCACATGAAACACCTCGCCACCGTCCAGAAGAGACAGAGTTCATACGTAGAGACACCATGGTACAAACTGGTTAAAGAACCTCCGAAGCAGGGCCTCCGAGAATTCAAAGATCACTCCATGCAGCGGCACATACGTCACAGAGCAGGAGCGGTCAGATACAGTGACAGTCCCACCATCCCCAGGGATTGTGAACGAACATCCATCATACACCATACGCCACGGCAGAGTGAAAGTTCACAAGTGCTCGATGGGTAGTCAACAGTTAGAGGCCATACACATCAGCCACCTGAATATGCAGCAAATTACACAGAACTACCTCAAGAGCCTCAAGAGCAAGGTAAGACGCACATCCAGAAAACTCCAGACCCATGGTCTCAGAGTGGCGAACAGGAGGGAAGGGGTCCCCATGGTGCCGACACAGCAAACAACGCCCTCCCACACCTAGCGCCAAGCAACGACTGGGGAGCACAATCCACGACGACCACCCCTCCAGTGGCGGGGCAGGGAATCCAAAATATAAACTCCTCATAATATAATGATATTCTCATTATTAGTTGCTCACTAATATAGTTTATCTTCCACAAAGAACTCCAGCAATATTAGATAATAACCCATAATACTCTGGTCTGACAATAGTAGTTCACATCAATCACACCTAACAGCATATGTCAGACACATATGTATAAGTATTAGAAAACCTGCACACTCTCTAATTAACCTTCATGGTAGAACATCAATTTACTCTAGAATATCTTGCAACTTGAATAAATACAACATTAAGGCTTTTCTGGAGATCAAGTAGGATTTATCCCTCAAAACTTCAGTGGTCAGTCAGCTCTGTGCTCCTCCGTCCACAGTAACATGTCGTCCGCCCGTTCTTGCCATGTCACTCGTCCCTTGATACCAGATCTCTCTTCATTCCTAGTCAAACTCTGTAATTACTCCTTTAACAATATTCCATTCATAGGTTATATAAAGTCCATTTTTCCTTCACAAAAGATTCCCCTATAATATATGCGTACGCTACAATAAATGTCCAACTGTAGGTACTAGTTTCAGTGGTGAAGTGACATCAGCAACACACGACCTCCCAGCTGCAGTTTTCTTTCAGGAAATGTACACTTTACTGCCTTTATATAACTTTCTCTCTTTTAGCTAACTTGTTAGGTTACAAAGCTTGGCTTCACCAAAACCTCTCTACAGGAGACAAGGTTCGTAACATGGGGTACACGTGGAAGAGAGAGGGGGGGGGTAGTGATGGAGAAGTTGTGTATTGATGGAAGAGGCGGGTTGTGAGGGAGAAAGTGTGCGTTGGTGGTGGAGGGGGTTACTGGAGGATAAAGGGTGCTTTTGTGGAGGAGAAGGGGGGGGGGGTAGTGGTGGAGGAGGGGTGTATATTGTTGGAACAGGGGTTGGGGGGGGATCAGGGTTAGTGATAGAGGGAGGGTGTATTGGTGGAGGAAGGGGGTACTGGTTGAGGTGGGTTGTATTTATGGAGTAGGGAGTAGTGGTGGTGGAGGGGTGTATTAGTGATGGACGGGGTAGAAGAAGAGAGGGTAAGTGATGAGGAGGAATAAATATGGAGGAGGGGGAAGTTATGGAGGAGGGGAGGTAGTTATGGAGGAGGGTTACAGGTGGAGTAGGGGTGTCTTGGTGAAGGAAGATGGTGGAGGAGGGGAGGCACTGGTGGAGGTGGGTTGTATTATGGAGGAGGGTGGGTAGTGGTGCAGGGAAGTGATAGAGGGGGGTTTACTAGTGGAGGAGAGTGTCTTGGTGGAGGATGAGGGTAGTGGTGGAGGTGGGGTGTTTTTGAGGAGGTGGGGTGTAGTGGTGAAGGATGGTGGTCTAATTTTTTGGTTTTGTTAATCTGATTACCAAAATAATTAGAGATAGAACAACGCAGAAGATATACTATGATTATAACACAGAAGCTCTGACAATAGGTTCTGCAGATTTGTAAAAGATTTCAACTAACTTCGCACCTTGATTTGATGTGAACCTTACTATGATGACAGGGAGCACCAGAAAAACAGAAGTGCACATTCATCGTATCAGGTGCGGATACCGATTTGTGTGAGAACTTTGCTTTTAGGTTCCAGAAGATGATAGGAAGTGTCTGCACTGTGGAGAAATTTCCAATAGACCACTGAACCATTATCTAACACAGTGCAAAGCTACAAACCAAATAATATTTAGAAGTTGTTAAATACATTGGACATAATCTTACTGAAGCTAATAAATGCGTCATGAATTCTCATTTGCCACCTAAGTAAGACAGAAATTGGAAACGAGTAACACTTGGTGCCGCGACAGTAATATCCCTGATCCAAAAAATCCTGGTTGTATTATTCTCTTGGTTGCGGATCTGTAAATTGATTACTCTGCCTGACACCAGGCTTCCAACGAATTGAAATTCTTTTGGCATCAAGCACATCAATCAAAGTAATATTCTATGCATATTGACCTAAGTGTTTATGCCACCTGTGCTGCTTTATGTAAGTTCACAGGAAAAAGAATGATTACACCTATAGTGCCCTTATTGACATTATTTGGTCAACTCCCCAAATTTTCCATGTATCTGTAACTTCACTTTGTCACCTGGCCTATCTCTTCTCACTTGGTGTGGCCACCTGCATACTCTACACTTATAACTTACCGCATTATGCATTTAGTTACATTCACTGGAAAACGTTAATTGTTCTGTTAGCTAAGTATCCATCGCTGGGTTATGTCATCTTTTCCCAATATTGTAATTCTAAAAGTAAGTATCCTTAACTGGAGAATACAATAGACAGTGAATAAAATAAATATAAAGAGGGAAAAACAAAACCCTTGGTTTCAACAGATAGCGGTGAGACCCTTCTCTTGTTCCGAACACTCACTACACCAGGCCAGCACAGTTGTAGATACACTCATATGTTAAATAAAAATGGGAATTGTAGATAATGCTCTCCATTAGGCTACACCCCTGGTCCTGGCTTTAACTTCACCCCTGGTAATGGCTTTGGCTTTAGCCCTGGTTCTGAACTTTGATTGCTACATCATGGCAGTCGGTCAAATTAAATGTTTAACTCTGGGTTACTTAATGACTTCTGGTTGCAAATGCCATTTAAGGGTGTCATCACACATGGAAGCATTAATGAATATAAACATTCGATAAATCCCTAACAACAGTTGGTTAAAATGGAATTTCAAAATACAAAAATGGCCTCAGGCCAAAATCCCATAATAACATGTTCTTACCTCCCTCAACACCATTCCCATCAAGCCGGACCACGACCCGTTGTCGAGCTTAGTTCCAAAGACACCATCAGAGGGCCGCACGCTCCTGTAACTAGTGAGTTAAATATTGACTTACTTCTGTGTAGGTGAGTTGCAAATATATCAGTGAACAGTAACCAATATTAATATGTTAAAACACTCACACACACTTGCAGCCAGCAATTGGGATTCACAGTTTATAGAACCACTTTCAATTCCTTGCTGAGACAGACAATAATACACAAAGTTTCATTCACCCATGTGTCTGTTCACCTAAATACTAACACACTAAATACTAACAAATACTATTCTAGCACACCCTTGCTTGACTGGGTCTGAGTCCAGCAGCGCCAGGAGGAAGGAGTCATCCAGCAACCGGCTCCAGGAATATCCATTTACCTAAGTATTGGGAGCAGGTTGAGGGCTGTAAGTGGTGTCCCAGGTTACATAAAGATATAGGGAAGTTGAAAAGTAAATAAGATACAAGAAAAAGGTGAAAGTGAGTGAACCCAGCAAACACAAAACGTGTTGAAACCTTTCACCTATGTTTTCCCATAGGTGTACGAATAACTTACATTGAGAATGGTGCATTTGTGAAACTTTTAATCCAAAAATCCAAACATATTGGTATTATAATATATGGTTTTTCTAAAACTATTTTGTTCCTAATGTATTACAAATAGTTTTTACATGTTTAAATATGAAATTTATGGTGTTTTTTGTAATATTCATTAATAAATTGTGAATGATATTTAATGGTTGTATGAAACATTCAAAATACATTTAGTTATTCTATGATCAGACAAAATTAGTTTTCATAATTTTGCTAAAAATCACTCTTTTTAAAACAATTTGACTCGTTATGCATTCCACTAAACACTAATATCATGTTTAAATATAAAATTTATGTGTTATTCCCTAAAATAATTTATAAAGATTGTAAATGGTGCTTGATTGAGGTGTGAAACATTCTTAAAACCTGTTGTTGTCTTATATATTGACGTGTGCTTATTCACTTGGTCTCAAGTGAACAGTTTATCAAACAAGAAGATTACTCTCTCTCAAGTATAGTGGTCGAGGCAGTGTCCATCACTCTCACCACAGATTCTGCAACTCAACTGCACAACTGTTGTTTCCATTACGAATTTACATCGATATATGTATCCAAGACGAATTCTTTCTCTTACTGATTCATACTGTGTGTGAGACTGCGTGTGTGCAGTCACCTCCTCTTCGTCCATAATGATTGGGATTGCCAGTTGGAACCACATTGTACCAGCATACAGTTTCACTTATTTGTTCCTCAATCCTCCTTTTCTCAGTAACCCTGTCAAGGTGATATTGCCTGATGACACCTCTAATATCAGGAGGTAGAGGAATCCTTTGTATGAAGTATTCAGTGTGGTCTCCTTCAGTGCCTTCAGCAGCCAGCACATCTGTTCATTCATTTCCAAAGATTCCAATATGGGAGGATCAGTATTTACCCAGGTCTTTCCTAAATGAAGAGAAGCTGCCTCGTATGGGCCAATAGGCTTTGTGCAGTCATCTTGATTCTATATGTTCTTATGTATGCCATGAAATCATAAGAACAGAATTAAGAACATAAGATGATGGTAACTGCAGAAGGCCTATTGCCGCATACAAACGCAGCTTTTATTTATATATATACACCCCAACCTCATTTACATAAATGTTCCTGTGCTACGAATGATATACTTGAGTATTGTAAGATCTCTTATTGTTTATCCTGCATCTGTCATTTCTTGTTTTTGTAAAGGTAGACTGGCTAAGTTGAAGAAAGTTCAAAATGAAGGCAAGTGAATAATGTTAGCATGTCCAAGAAATGCTATGATTGAAATAATGAGAATGGAATTGAATCTGAAGCGTATTGAGGATAGAATTTTATAGATAAATGTACCCTCTGCCATTAGATTAATGAGAGCAGTTTAATAAGTAGTACGGAGAGTAGTATTTAGTTTAGTTTAGTTAATTTATAATGCTCCCTATACCCATACCCCATATGCGTGCATGTGTGTGTAGGGAGAATGGGGCATAAGTGTGTGTGTGTGTGTGTAGGGGGCTGGGGCATGTGTTGTTGTGTGCAGGGGGCTGGGGCATGTGTGTGTGTGTGTGTAGGGAGGCTAGGACGTGTGTGTGTGTGTGTGTAGAGAGGCTGGAGCATGTGTGTGTGTGTGTGTGTGTATGTGTAGGGGGCTGGGGCATGCGTGTGTGTGTGTAGGGGGCTGGGGCATGTGTGTGTGTGTGTGTGTGTGTATGTGCGTGTGTGTGTGTGTGTGTGAGAAGGGAGGCTGGGGCGTATGTGTGTGTGTGTGTAGGGAGGCATGGGCGTGTGCAGGACGGCTGGGCGTGTAAGTGTGTGTGTAGGGGGCTGGAGCATGTGTGTGTGTGTTGGGAGGGTGTGGCATGTGAGTGAGTGTCAACCTGTTCTCGCACTTGCTTATACTCAATATTGGCATATTTAATAAGTGCATATGTGACATACTAATTGATTGTGAATATTTTAGTTTACCTTGAAAAGCTTCATAGAAAACACAGACCTCACCTAACCTTCTTAGTATGTTAAGATAAGCATCTTATTGCTTCTAAATTACAAGTATTACTTAACATATACCGTTGTTAGGTTAAGTAATAATTGTAAATAAGAAGCAATAAGATGCTTATCTTAGCATACTAAGAAGGTTAGGTGAGGTCGGTGTTTTCTGTGAAGCTTTTCAAGGTAAACTAAAATTTTCACAATCAATTAGTATGTCACATATGCACTTATTTAAAAAAGCCAATATTGACAGTAAGCAAGTGCGAGAACGGGTTGGTGAGTGTATACGGAGGCTGGGGCATGTGTGTGTGTGTATAGGGAGGCTAGGACATGTGTGTGTGTGTGTGTGTGTGTGTGTGTGTGTGTGTGTGTGTGTGTAAAGAGACTGGGGCATGTGTGTATGTATGGGTTGGTTAGGTTTGGTCATATATCTACGTTAATTTTAACTCCAATAAAATAAATTGACCTCATACATAATGAAATGGGTAGCTTTATCATTTCATAAGAAAAAAATTAGAGAAAATATGTTAATTCAGGAAAACTTGGCTTATTAGGCAAATCGGGCCTTGCATAGTAGGCTGAGAAGTGAGTTCTGGCTACTAGGTACGACATATATATATATATATATATATATATATATATATATATATATATATATATATATATATATATATATATATATATATATGTCGTACCTAGTAGCCAGAACTCACTTCTCAGCCTACTATTCAAGGCCCGATTTGCCTAATAAGCCAAGTTTTCCTGAATTAATATATTTACTATAATTTTTTTCTTATGAAATGATAAAGCAACCCTTTTCTCTATGTATGAGGTCAATTTTTTTTATTGGAGTTAAAATTAACGTAGATATATGACCGAACCTAACCAACCCTACCTAACCTAACCTAACCTATATTTATAGGTAAGGTTAGGTTAGGTAGCCAAAAAAAGCTAGGTTAGGTTAGGTTAGGTAGGTTAGGTAGACGAAAAAACATTAATTCATGAAAACTTGGCTTATTAGGCAAATCGGGCCTTGAATAGTAGGCTGAGAAGTGCGTTCTGGCTATTAGGTACGACATATATATATATATATATATATATGTGTGTGTGTGTGTGTGTGTGTGTGTGTGTGTGTGTGTGTGTGTGTGTGTGTGTGTGTGTGTGTGTGTGTGTGTGTGTGTATGTGTGTGTGTGTGTGTATGTGTGTATGTGTGTGTGTGTGTGTGTGTGTGTGTGTGTGTGTGTGTGTGTGTGTGTGTGTGTGTGTGTGTGTGTGTGTGTGTGTGTGTGTGTGTGTAAATCACGAAAATAAACACGTGATTAAAAATGTGACAGTGTCAGACCACGGAGGAAATTGAAACAGGAATTTCCTTAAGTGCTTTCGTACAACTTCAGAAGGAGTCTGAATATGTATTAATATACTCCTTTTGAAGATTTATTAATATACGAAATTACTTAAGGAAATTCCTGTTTCAATTTTCCTCCGTGGTCTGACACTGTTATATATCTATATAAATAAAAATGGATATGTTCGTTTGTTCAAAATCGCTAATCTCCGAAAGTTCTTCACCGATTGCTTTGAAATTTTCACACAATGTTCCATTCGCATCCGGCCAGGTTTTTATATACATACTATATTGATGTAACGTCTGGGACAGTAAAAAACATGCTTTTTCTGAAAAAACTGTATTTTTTATGTGATGGAAATCTTCGAATCCGCTTTACCGATTGCTTTGAAACTTTGACACAACGTTGCAATCGAATAGGCGCGTCTTTTTATATATCTACTGTATACATGCCTCACCTGTGACAAGAAAAAACATGTTTTATTTTTTTAAACAGCACTATCTGTTGGAAGTAAGAGCAACACACACTGTACTCTCCGAAAGTTCTTCACCGATTGCTTTGAAATTTTGACACAACGTTGCATTCGAATAGGCGCTTCATTTTATATACCTACTATATAGATGCCACCCCTGTGACAGGTAAAAACATGCGTTTTTGAACAACAGCGCCATCTGTTGCACATAATTGCAATATTTACGCTATACTAAATACGTCACGAATTCCATTTCAATGTTTCCGATTGCATTAATAAATTTTATTTTCATAGATTTCGATTTATTTATTTTTTTTGTGTGTGTGTGACATTGTGTTGGAACTGAGCTGTGTTGTTTACCATAACGTTCATCTATATAAATAAAAATGGAAATGTTCGTTTGTTCAAAATCGCTAATCTCCGAAAGTTCTTTACTGATTGCTTTGAAATTTTTACACAATGTTCCATTCGCATCCGGCCAGGTTTTTATATACATACCATATAGATGTCACGTCTGTGACGATAAAAAAACATTTTTTTTCTGAAAAACTGTGTTTTTCATGTTTTTTTCATGTGAGGGAAATCTTCGAAACCTCTTTACCGATATCTTTGAAATTTTGACACAGCGTTGCATTCGAATAGGCGCGTCTTTTTATATATCTACTATATACATGCCTCACCTGTGACAAGAAAAAACATG